CTGTGCTCTTCACAGATGAAAGCAGGTTCACACTGAGCACATGTGACAGACATGACAGGGTCTGGAGACGCCGTGGAGAACATTCTGCTGCCTTCAACATCCTCCAGCATGACCGGTTTGGCAGTGAGTCAGTAATGGTGTGGGGTGGCATTTCTTTAGGGGGCCGCACAGCCCTCCATGTGCTCGCCAGAGGTAGCCTGACTGCCATTAGGTACCGAGATGAGATCCTCAGACCCCTTGTGAGACCATATGCTGGTGCGGTTGGCCCTGGGTTTCTCCTAATACAAGACAATGCTAGACCTCATGTGGCTGGAGTGTGTCAACAGTTCCTGCAAGACAAAGGCATTGATGCTATGGATTGGCCCGCCCGTTCCCCAGACTTGAATCCAATTGAGCACATCTGGGACATCATGTCTCACTCCACCCACCAACACCACATTGCACCACAGACTGTCCAGGAGTTGGGGGATGCTTTCATCCAGGTGTGGGAGGAGATCCCTCAGGAGACTATCTGCCACCTCATCAGGAGCATGCCCAGGCATTGTAGGGAGGTCATACAGGCACGTGGAGGCCACATATACTACTGAGCCTCATTTTGACTTGTTTTAAGGACATTACATCAAAGTTGGATCAGCCTGTAGTGTTTTTTTCCACTTTAATTTTGAATGTAACTCCAAATCCAGACCTCCATGGGTTGCTAAATTTGATTTCCATTGATAATTTTTGTGTGATTTTGTTGTCAGCACATTCAACTATGTCATGAACAAAGTATTTAATAAGAACATTTCATTCATTCAGATCTAGGATGTCTTATTTTTGTGTTCCCTTTATTTTTTTGAGCAGTGTAGTTTCTTTCATAGAGGGAGCTCTCATATGTACTGTGGGCTACCTTTTGGTTTCTGTTTTCTTTTTTGCCTTGCCTTGTTAAATATGTCATTTTAATCATTTTAATTTACTGCTTGTATTTTAATGGGCAATTATAAATCAAGTTCTGCAAAGCTAAATGCAGATATAGTAATTCATAATGCTCATTAAAAATAAGGACTTTTGTTGAATCAATAGACTTAGATAATTTCAGTTCCATTTGGCCTGTCTCTTCTTTCCTCTTTTCTTCCAGTCATGGGACTGAATCCAAAGCCTGTCTTTGGGAGGAAGTATTTTTCCCCTGATTCATCTCTCAGCTGTATTAACTCTTCCTTCCCATTTTTATTTGTGCAATAACCTTGGTGGTTTCAGCTTCAATCCTGCTTAGTTAGGCTGCTTAAATATGATTAAATTTCTTTGGCTCTATTGTTTTGACTAATAAATCTGGTGACTGACTAGACAATTGTCCTTAATTTGCCTCATTAAAAGTGGAAATTTCATCTCTTTTTCCAGGTTCATTAATTTTTTATCTGCTATACTGTGTAGTGAATAAATGGATTGTTCCTTTCTGTGGAGTGCTTAGCACTCTGGAGCTTGGTTATTTGCTTCTAGATACTTCATTATTAATACATACTGATGCTACCTAGTTGAAATGTCTGAAAGCAAACAACCAAATCCAGAGAGCACCAAAGGACTTCACAGTTGCACCCCGAGTTACAGATGTTCTTATGATTCACTTAAACAGAGGTACAGAGACTTCTGTTGCTTGGCACCCTTCCTGGCATCTGTCAGAAATGTGGAAAACTCATTCTACTTACCTCAGAATTTTCCAACCATTTATAAAATAAATCCCATATCAAATAATATTCCGCCTCTTCTTGTCCTTTAATTGCCAATGTTAATCTATTCATTTCTGTGCATTCCAATATTTTCATGATCACCTCTTCCTCTATCGGAATCTTTTCATTTTTCCAATTTTGAGCAAATACAATTCTACCTGCTGTTAATATATGTATGAGTAAATAGGTTTTTTTTTTTACTATAATTTTTGGGTAAAATCCCCAATTAAAAAATATCTCAGGTTTTAAGTCTATGTGTTGTTTTATCATCTTTTCCAACCATGTGTGTATTTTTGTCCTATTTTTTAGCTTCTGTACATGTCTACCACACATGGTAATATGTTCCGGATGTCTGGTGACATTTCCAGCATTTAGCTGATTTATCTTTAAACATCTTTGCCAGTCTTGCCGGTGCAAAATGCCATCTATAAAACAACTTATACATATTTTCTTTATATGCTGTTGACATTTTTAGTTTATCATTTCTATCCCAGTTTCTGCCATTTATCTAATTTTATCCCATAGCCAAAGTTTTCTCCCCAAGCTATCATTGTCTCCTTCACTTGTTTTTCTAAATTCACTCCTAGTAAATAGCTATACAATTTCTTAATCATCTTTTCTTCTGTTCCTATTAGGATTTTATCTAATTCTGTCAATTCATTATAAAACCTCTCTGCTTTGACATCTTTTTCATATCTAGAATGTATTTGCATATATGAGTACCAATTCATATCAATCCCTTGTTCATTCAGTTCTTGTTTTGTTTTGAGTTCACCCCTTTCATTTAAAACATCTTTATATCTAACAATATTTCCCATTTTGAAAACATTTGGATATATAAACTTGATAGCCAGACTGGAATCTACATATGTTGTTCCCTTATTTTCTCCCATATTGATAATAATTTCTTACATAATGTCTTTGAAAGTAACTGTGTATCTTATTTTTCCCATATCATAAAAAGGCATGCCAACCCAATTGTAAATCATGCCCCTCCAATGTCAATAGCCTTGTATTTCTTAATACAATCTATTCTTTCATCCATATTAATACCACGGCCTGATAATATAATTCCCAATTGGGTAGCCCAAACCCTCCTCTGGTTCTTGCATCCTGTAACAATTTTAATTTGATCCTTGCTTTTTTCTCTTGCCATATATATTTTAATATTATTTAAGTCATCAAAACATTTTTCTCCAGTTTTATTGGGATTGTTTGGAACAAATACGGCACTCTTGATAATATGTTCATTTTAATTGTCACTATTCTCCCTATTAGTGATAGTTGTAGATTTTTCCATTTTTCCAGGTCTATCTTAATCTGTTGTTTTAATTTATAATTAACTTCTTTAATTGTCCCGCATCTTGCTGTTAATTGAATCCCCAAATATTTCTTTGTAACCTGAATATCTAGTCTATCCATTAATTATCTTTTTGCTTTGCTGTAATATTCTTCACTAATATCTTAGTGTTTTCCTTATTTATTTTCAATCCCGCAACTTCCCCATATTCTTCTAACCTATCTGTCAGTTTGGATCCTGTTTCTAATGGTTCTTCTAATATAAAAACCAGATTATTTGCAAATGCCTGCAATTTATACTCCCAAGAAATTAAATGAATAGCTATGATAAGATATATAAGGTTGAGTAGTTTTTAATATAAATGCAATCATAGTAAGAAATGCATGCTAAATATAAATATTTGCACAAAATATATGTACCCAGTTGACACACTGTATAACTGAAAGATGAATTTGTTGTAAAATAAAAAAATAATAATAAAAAAATTCTTATCTCAAAATATTTACCAATGGAAAGAAAGAAAGAAAGAAAGAAAGAAAGAAAGAAAGAAAGAAAGAAAGAAAAATATAGCATCAAACCTGTTTCAGGTATAACCATAATCTTTAATTCACTGTATGAGATAGTTTTCAGGCAAATTTTAATATGCAGTATTCATTGTATAATTTTATGGGCATTCGGGCATTATTTTCTTTTAATCATTCTGTTTCACCCTCATCTGTTTTTTCTCTTGATAAAAAAGCAATTTAGAATAGAGCAAAAATGGGACCGTCACAAAATATGGATGTTCCATAGATATTTACTCCTTAAACTTTTAAGCTATATGTGGCTTTCAGACTAGAACTTTCATTATCTTCCATTATTCTGTCCATTACCTGGTTATTTTCTAGAAAACCCTATTTACTTTAAAAAAAATACACATGAAGGCATTTTGCATACTTCCACACTTGTCTTTGTTTTATTTGGGGGAGGTTTTGAATCCTTTTGAAGTACTACACACTTTATTTCCATTAACTTTTAACTTACTGGTTCATTGCTGTGTGCCAGAACAATAATTACCTATAAGAGGTGCTTAAATAAGTTGCTAGGCTTCTAGGAAATATTATGTGAGTTCCATTGCTCAATAAATCCACTTTTTGCAGCACACCTACTGCCCTTGTATCAACAATCCTCTTACTCAAAGTCTCATTGTGAATATTACTGCTTTATATTGAAGAACATGAAAATAAGACTGTAAAAAGGCTCAAAGTTATTTTTCTTGAACTTTCCTGTATATAGTCAATTTCCAATAATTTAGGCAAATGGACAAGAGTAGAACAGGAGAAACTAAGCTAGATCAACTATTCAAAAGTTGGCACACAACCTATTGTGATCCCAATACTGAGGTATTTGTGGAGTTGGTGACATTCTACTGTCCATTATTTCCTGTTTCTTCCAGTCCTAGGAGCGAGTAAGTATTTTCTAGTCCTCCACTTCATCTCTGCTGAATCAACTCTCCCCGCCCATAAGTTATTAAAATAAAATTAAATAAATAAAAACCAACTGTATAGATTCAGCGTTGCAATTCCACAAATTCCACATAAAACGCATTCAATTCCACAAATTCCACATAAAACGCATTTTTATAATATTTATAAAAATAAAGACGCGATACAAATAAATAAAGCAAACGGTTCTTATCTGGATATATATCTTGAGTTTTTGTCCTCAGAATGAAATTGTATTTTTCATCCAACAATTCCATCACTGCGTTTCATTTGCGTTTGAGCAGCTCAATCCCTTCACAGGAAAAGCAGCGTAAGATTGCTCAACGTTTCATTACCAAATTGTTCCTCCATCTCCACTACCCCCACCCCCTGTCGTTCCAAATACGGGTCTGTTTATTGTTTTCTGAGTCGTACTTTCCACGCATGGCCACTAGATGGCACTGCGGGAGCGGCTTCCGAACAAAGCGCGCCCGTGTTCTCAGTATTTGGACGCCAAGTTACCTGAGGAGAGAATTAGGAGCCAGATTTCGCAGTAACTTTACAAATCCTTCTCCGGGGGTGGAGCGAAAAGGAAAGCAAAGCAAAGCGGGCGCTCCAACGGGACTATTGAAGTATTGTAGCTCTTCTTCTTCAGCCGCTGTCCTTTTGCACAAACCGATCACCTACGCAGCGCTGTTTTTGCGATCTGCCGAAGTGGGATATGCGCAGCAGATTATCCTGGCGGAAATTGAAAAGGTGGGACTTTTTATTTACTGAGAAGCGGGGCTCTACCTCTTGCGCTTATCTACGGAAGCGTAAATTAAATTGCGAGGAGGGGACGGCGACTGTTTGAAAACAACAGCTGCTAAGTAGAAAGAATCCCTTGTCGGCCGGGTTGATGTGATTGTGAGACTGTTTTAAAGGTGTCCCTTTCCTCTTTCCGCTCCTCCTCCCAACCCCAGGATCTTCCAGAGATTTATTCTGCCCCAGAACCAAAGCTATAGTATGTTCTAGACAGGAAGCAATAGAGCAAACCAGATTCTTGAGTATAAGCAGAGGGCTTTCTGCAATTGAGTTGGCCAACTTGCAACAGAAGTTTAATGTAAATGGAGTGTGTGTGTATATATATGTGTGTGTGTGAGGGGGGGCTTCTAAACAAGACTGACCCAACCCTCGGACGACATATACAGGTAGTTCTCAACTTATGACCAACACCGAGCCCACAATTTATGTTGTTAAGTGAGATATTTGTTAAGTGAATTTTGCCCCATTTTATGACCTTTCTTGCCTCAGTTGTTAAGTGAATCAATGCAATTGATAAATTAGTAACCTAGTTGTTAAGTGAATGTGGTTTCCCTGTTGACTTTGGTTGTCAGAAGGTTGCAAAAGGGGATCACTTGACTCAGGGGCACAGCAACAGTTATAAATATAAACCAGTTGCCAAGCATCTGAATTTTAATCCCACTATCATGGGGATGCTGGAAAGGCTGTAACTGGAAAACATTTTTCACCACCGTAGTAACTTTGAATGGTCACAAACGAACTGTATGTTGTAAGTTGAAGACTACCTGTATGTGGGGTCTGCGTCTTACAGGCCCCCAGTGGTGTCTTCATTTGGGCTACAAGATGCTTCCTGATGGGAGGGTGCAACTGATCTAGAGGTTATATTGATTGTGTAGTGTCCAATCCCTTTCTCCTGGATGGGGCGCTGACAGTAAGAAAAAAAAGAACACCACACAGGGTAAGGATCAGCATCTGAGCCTTCAGATGAAGTGGCAGGGGGCTGATTGTGCAATGTAAGGCTTATGAGGAAGCATCCACCATCCAATAGATTCACCACCTAGAAGAACGTGAGTTGTTGCAAAACCGTGATAGACATTTGACTGGGGCATAAGAAAGGAAAAATGTTGAGTGACCAGCAAGTCTCTGCTGGTTCATTGTCTTCATTAATTAGAAGCTACAATCTGTCTACAATCTGATCTGTGTTAGGCAGGGCTTCTGCTAAAACATTTTATTTAGGAAATTAAATTTTAGAACGTTGTCACTTCCTGTCATCTGCCATTAAGTGGAATATGTTACACCATTCCTAAACCTGTTCTTCCCCAACTCTTGGGGCTGGATTACAGGTGCAGGTTTTGGTCCATCACACCTCAGAAGAGTGAGATCTGGGGAAGTTGCCTGAAGAGCAAATACTTTAATGGAAGATTAAATATGATGAGTACACAGTTTAGGAGATTGAGCCATAGATGCATTTTTCATTGTGTGGAAATCATCTGTGAAGCTGCTAATTGAGTGTATATGGGTTTATGTGTGTAGAAAAAAAAACAGTGCATTTGCTGATTTTTGAAATTAGAAAGTTTGTATTCCCTACAAGTTATTTAATGCTAATCCATTCTATTAACGTGTGTGTTGGCGTGGGTATGTTTAAGCACATCGAGACCTTGTTATAAACACAGTTCTTGTAAAAGAGTTGAATTATTAGAGAATCCATGTGCCTGGAGCACAGATTCCTGCTTTATGTCTCTTTCTTGGACTAGCTTGTATTTGCAAGGCTGAATAACAAAAGACAGATGGCCGAGTCTGTTGCATCTTCAATTTAAAGGATAATTTATCAGGTCAGGAGAAATAATCTCTACTTTGGACCTGGTAGAATTATTGGCACTTGACATATTGACATAAATTGGATCAAGAATTGGATCTGATGTGAAGATGTTTCCAGAACCAAGTATAGAAATGGGTATGATTATTATTTTTTAATTGGAATTTGGAGTAAAGACATAAGGAATACAAACAGGTAGTTCTCAAAGGACAACAGTTTGTTTAAAGTTACGTTCAAAATTACAACAGCACTGAAAAAAGTGACTTATGGCAATTTTTCACCCTTACAGCTGTTGCAACAGCCCCATGGTCACATGAGCAAAATTCAGATGCTTGGCAACTGACTCGTATTTATGACAATTGCAATACCCTGGGGTCGATTATCATCTTTTGCGACCATCTGACAACCAAAGTCAATGGGGAAGTCAGATTCATTTAGCAATCATGTTACATTCAACAACAGCAGGGATTCACTTAACAATGGCAAAAAAGGTTGTAAAATGGGGCAGAACTCACTTAACTTGCTTAGCGACAGAAATTTTGGGTTGAATCGTGGTCATAAGTTGAGGACTTCCTATAATTCAATGTTGTTTCGGTAAGGTGGATTTGAGCAAGGAAGAGAGTCTAAATGCTCTGAAGTTCATACTATAATCTGGCCAAAGTCAGCTGCTTTGGTATTCTCCAGATTTAATCACCGAGTAATGCCTTCTGGGCAGGATCACACCTGGAATTTATTTGGAACTGTGGCATCTAATTAAGTACATTATTTGAGATAAATAGTTGATTCCACACAGGGATCATATTGTGAATCCAACAGAGTTGATATTATACTAGATTTACTTTTAATTTGCTTCTTGACACCCATCACTTGATCCAATAGTTGATTAGGATTGTCTTTTCTTATAACTGGAGAGCATAACTTGAGATTCAGATCTGCACATGCCTTGATATGGTTCTCATAAAGCCCCCTTGAAAATGGCCAAATATAATGTTAATGGATGAAGGAAGAAATGATTAAATGTTCAGACTGGTCTCAAAAGGGATTTAATTCATTTGATTTAACTTAAAATCAGATCAGATTTGGAGTTTTGTCCTGGTTCTAACCATTACTTTAATCTGGTCTTCTCTGCTTTTTGAAGTACAACTTCTGGGATGTAATGCAAAGGGCCAAATCTGGTCCTTGGTTCACAAGCAAAGAATATATCTTTGTTCTGGGATCTTCATTTAGTTTTGTCTTTCTGATTTTTGATATACAATGAAGAGGGGTTTTTTTCTCCTACAGACATAAGCATCTGTTGCCAGACATAAAGATATAAGAGAGACAGTGCATGTCTTATGACATTACATAAGTATGTCATTTGTATGATATCATGACATCTAATGTGTCAATAAAACATGTCAAATCAATTTTTACATACCTGTTGTCCTTTTCCTCTCCCCATATCCCTGTACTTGACTTGGAGAGGAGTTAAAATTATATTCTGTGCAGAGGTTTCCTTATTTAACTATTTATCCGATCTTGATTTCAGAGAGATAATCTTTACTTTCTACATTTATTTCTGACCTCAATATTTAGTCCCATCCCCTACAAGTGCTTTTACCTTCCCATAGATCAAAACATTACTTCATATATTGTATAGTGTTAGTGCCTTCATATCGGTGTTGACTCCTAGTAACAGCCTGAACAAGTCCTTAACAATTTTCTTGGTAGGGTTTTGAAAGTGGGTTGCTGTTATCTCCTTCTTAGGGCTGAGAGAGAGTGACTGGCCCAAAATCACCCAGCTGACTTCATGGTATCCTGTTTTCTAGCTTGGTGCCTTAACCACTACACATATTGATTCTCTTCATGTCTATCACAATGGAAAGTATTTATTCTGTAACAAATGTATCAGTGTGTATACACAGTGTGTGTATTTATTTGATACACTTGATATACATTTTTGATACACTTTTAGTGCCTTTGTAACTCTGAACCATCGCTAAACGGACTGTTATAAGTCAAGAACTACCTGTATTTACTATTTTGCTTTTTTATTATTTTGGTATATGTTTATGATATGGCAGTAAACCACACTGTGTATTTATTAGAAGCAAGAAAGTGACATAATTTTTTTTTGAAATGGCAGTAGGTTGTCAGATAAAATGGTGTCACCTATCTTGTCTTTTCAACTTTCCAGTTTATTTTCTGAAATAATGTAAGGGAAAATGCTTGGGAACATGAAGTGCTGTATTGTAACCTGAGAGATGAATTACTGTAAGGTTGGCATCAGATTTATCATAAGAATAACCATTTATTGAAAAAGGGTTTTGTGTTTGTTTTTTATAACTAACACTGGGGTGGATGAGTGCATTTCAGTATTCCAGTTGCAAAATATAACTTCTTGTGAATTCCACATTTTTTAAAAATCCAAACTGTTGAGATTTGTTTTTTTAGCTGTGTAAACAACCAAGTTCTCAAATTGGAAATGATAAGAAAACGTAATAGTTAGCACTGCCAGAGGTAACATGTGAGATAACAGTTATTATTTTGTTTGCAGTTGGCTCACTGTTGTTCTTTTTCCTATGATCTGATACAGGCCTTATAGAAACTAGAAAAGCCATGCAGAATAAATATTTATTACAGTGAACATAATTCCAATATAGGTATTACCAACATGAAGGGTTATAATAATTATGGAAGCAATGCATTGCATCTCTTTGTTTTCCATAGGAATCATAATGCCAGGTAGTTTTGTCATGTTTATCAGTGTTTCGCCCCCTTTAATGGATTAAAAACATCAACATTCAGGCTTTTCAAAAATTTAAAGAGACCTGCTCACATCTGGAGTGATCATTTTGAATGCTGTCTTTGCTGTTGATCAATAAAGGACACTCGAGTCTCATGCTTATTTTACTAAATTTTGAATCTCCATGTATCACAATTTATACAAGAAGGTAATTAATTGAGCAACAGGTTGTGCTTAATCAGTGATAACTATTACCCTAAGTACACTAAGTTTAGATATCACGAGGCAGTAGTTTCAAGAAGATGACTTGGGCGTAGTTGCAATGATTGAGTTTGAAGGAGTCAAGCAATAGGGTTGGTAAAGCTGTTGAAGTAATGAGTTCATGTCGTATGAATCTTGCAACTGCTATTTGTAAATCAAAGTTTGTGGCAA